CCTTAGCTGTAAAGTTGTGGTAACGGGCACAGACTCCTTCCATCTGGTGTCAAGGATTTGCCTTAATCATTCAGGAAAAAGAACTAAATTTTTCAAGCAACTGCCCAGACTGGAGGCTTCCCTGCCCTGGAGCTTGTTGTGTAGGCAGGAAGATAGTGGTGGATCTGTGTGATAAGACAATGGCACTGCATCTGACAGAGAGGGCCAGCTTGCTTGGCTGGCATATTCATCTAGAAGTGAATGATCCACAGCAACAGTCACTGCCATGTCACTCCTCTTCTATGAGGAGGCAGCTATACCTTTGCTATGGTTCTGGACACTGGTAAAACCACTGTTTCCTAGGCCCATTCTTGGTTGACTCTACAATAGGCTTTCCCTGGACAGAGAGAGAGAGTAAAGACTCCTAGAAAGGTAGGGGAGGGCTTGACTCAAATTATCAATAGATTAAATATACTGTGATGGCTAAATCAAATGTCCATGAATTCTAGGACTCCCTTCAGAACTCTAAGGAGCTTGTGACATAACTGGCAATACAGCATAAAAAACAAATTAGGACCTTGAGGAAAATGACCTTGTGGTTTCTGTTGCTTATTTACCCAGAGAGTCTCCCCTGTGGTGAAAGGGCTCTGAATCCAGAGGCTGTGGCAAGTATCACTCCTTTATCCAGCCTGGCTCTGCTGTGTTCCCACACAGTGTGTGGTAGAAAGAGCCTCCAGCCATGGTCACACTGTCCCTTAGAATCCAGTCTCTGCTGGTCCCCTACATTTTGGACAACACAGGATATTTGAGAGCAAAGACAGTGGTTTGTGAGAGCAGGAGACTTTTAGGAGACTGGCCCAAGCAGGGATATCCTTAAAGTGACTATTCTGCTTGTAGAGACAATTCAGAGAACCGATGTGCTCCCAGGAATCCCCCTTCATAATTTCCTCCTCTGACATGTTCTTCTAAGATAGCATTGCTCACTGTGAAACCATATTGCCATGATGATTGTCTAATTTACTTTATGATTTTTGGATGATGAGCCATGGTGATTGCCTCTCACAATTGAACAGCACAAGACATTTCTCCACTGAGCACCTTTTCCCCGCTTTGTTGATATAGGTAAACTACTACGTGAGCTGTGTACTGTGTCTATTCGATAGTCCTCACTCAGTTGTCCCAGTAAGCTGACCATCCAGCTGTTCTTCTGTCCAACTTCACAGTCCAACATTACAGGACATTACTGTGATATAATAGCTTGAAGAAACGATTGTTTTTCTTAGGCCTTTGCATGAGATTCCTTGAACTTTGGCTGGAATTGTTTAGGAGCGTATGTGAAGTTGACCGGGACTTGACCTGTGTTGAGAACTGGTCATGGAGCAGGAAGGCATGCACATAGGGAAACAGAGTTAAGGACATGAGCTAGGAGGAGGGAGATTTTAGAAAGTTTCTGTTGCAATGCAGAAATCTTCCAGTGTTGGCTCTGGTCATCTTCCAGCTTACTTCTCCCTTATCACATTCTTCAGTACCCCAACTGGGCTGTCTTTGCCATGTCTTTACCATCAGGTTTTGGGTCAGTGAAGTTCCTGAAGATGATCAGTGCAATTCCTCAACCATGAGGTGCACAACATATTGTCAATCATAGAATCATAGAATATCTCAAGTTGGAAGGTACTTATTAGGATAGAATCAGAGAATACAATCATAGAATTGTTTAGGTTGGAAAAGACCCGTAAGATCATCAAGTCCAACCGTTAACCCAGCACTGCCAAGTCCACCACTAAACCATGTCCCTAAGTACCACATCTATACCTCTTTTAAATACGTCCAGGGATGGGGGCTCAACCGCTTCCCTGGGCAGCCTGTGCCAGTACCTCACTACCCTTTCAGTGAAGACGTTTTTCCTAATACCCAATCTAAACCTCCCCTGGCACAACTTGAGGCCATTTCCTCTTGTCCTATCGCTTGTTACTTGGGAAAAGAGACTGACCCCCACCTCGCTACAGCCTCCTTTCAGGCAGTTGTAGAGAGTGATAAGGTCTCCTCTGAGCCTCCTTTTCTCCAGGCTAGACAACCCCAGTTCCCTCAGCTGCTCCTCGTAAGACTTGTGCTCTAGACCCTTCACCATCTTCGTTGCCTTTCTTTGGACACTGTCCAGCATCTCAATGTCCTTCATGTAGTGAAGGGCCCAAAACTGAACACAGTATTCAAGATGCAGCCTCACCACTGCCAAGTACAGGGAGATGATCACTTCCCTAGTTCTGCTGGCTACACTATTTCTGATACAAGCCAGGATGCTATTGGCCTTCTTGGCCATCTGGGCACACTGCTGGCTCACATTGCTGCCTCATATTCAGCCGATTATTGACCAACACCCCCAGGTCCTTTTCCGCTGGGCAGCTTTCCAGCCACTCTTCCCCAAGCCTGTAGCGTTGCATGGGGTGGTTGTGACCCAAGTGCATGACCCGGGTATTTAGCCTTGTTGAACCTCATACAATTGGCCCTGGCCCATCAATCCAGCCTGTCCAGATCCCTCTGTTGAGCCTTCCTACCCTCCAGCAGATCAACACTTCCACCCAACTTGGTGTCATCTGCAAACTTGCTGAGGGTGCACTTGATCCCCTCATCCAGATCGTTGATAAAGATATTAAACAGAACTGGCCCCAGTATTAAGCCCTGGAGAACACCACTCGTGACCAGCTGCCAAGAGGATTTAACTTCATTCATCACAATGTTTTGGGCCTGGCTGTCCAGCCAGTTTTTTACCCAGTGAAGCATATGCCTGTCCAAGCCATTAGCAGCCAGTTTCTCCAGGAAAACGCTGTGGGAAATGGTGTCAAAGGCCTTACTAAAGTCCAGGTAGACAACATCCACAGCCTTTCCCTCATCCACTAAGCAGGTTACCTTGTCATAGAAGGAGATCAGTTTAGTCAAGCAGGACCTGCTTTTCATAAACCCATGCTGACTTGGCTTGATCTCCTCTACATGCTGCGCTGCGTCATGGAGGATCATTGAATCCAAATCCCTGCTCCTTGCCGGACTCCCTAAAACTAAACCATATGACTAAGAGTGTCATCCAGACACTTCTTGAACTCTGACAGGCTTGGTGCCATGACCACTTCCCTGGGGAGCCTGTTCCAGTGACTGACCACCCTCTCAGTGAAGAACCTTTTCCTATGTCCAATCTGAACTTCCCCTGATGCAGCTTCATTCCGTTTCCTCCTGTCATTGTACTTGGGGATGTATTTGGGGGTCTTGTTGAGGGGTATCTCTTGTAGTGTTCTTGACCATAGGGTCCTTCCCAAGATTTAGACCTGTAAAGATTAGTGTGGGTGCGTAACTGATCTCTCTCCTTCACTGCCAGATGAGGAAAGCAGTATTCTGTACCTAACAGTCCATCTTCTCCCAGGGCTGCTGCATGCAAAATGGGCTTGACCTGTCAGGGAAGACCTGTTCTATCTTCCTCTCATTTCCACAGGGCATCTTTCTTCAGGGACTCCTTTTTCAAATACAGGACTTCCTTCTCTTGGTCCTGCTCCTCCAGGAGAGACGCATACTCTTTCATCCTTCTCGATGTCCAGGCACAGACAAATTGTCTGTGCATGTCAGAATGTGGAGAATATAGAAAACCCTGAAGAGTATGTTTGCTTTTCACAGAGACTCTTTTGCAGGTCTCCCTACAGCAAGCATGCGTGCAGGGAATAACGAAATGAAGCAGTGAGATGAGATAAACTCTTCGATAGGTGTCTACTCTGCATCAGAATGTGACCGGTGAATCTCAGCCAGAACATGTATTCCATTATGAAACAATGTTTGATTTCTATAGAAGGCAGTTTTTAAATATAAGTACATCAACAGAAGTAAAAGATCTCCATCCATTGTTGATAGTTGCTGTACCTCTTACATTCTAAACTTTTATGTCTATCAATTTTTGTGTTAAAAAATTTCTTTATTGTCTAAAAAGGTGATTTAAGTAAACTCTGTGTATCCTTTCTCTTAAACTGAATCAAACCATTATCACTTACGAGATTATTATCTTGCACTTAAATATTTGCTTCTAATACTGCTACTTAGCAAAAACCCACAATTGTATTTGATCTTCAGTCTGTATGAAGGAAGTCAACATGAGCACATAATTTCCAGAATTATTTCTCTTCTTTATGATATAGAAATACCCATTCGTGTTCAAATCCAATCTCTGGTAAGTGAAGCAGACTTTCCTGATACCATACTAATACCTCAGTAGAAACTGTTATCATTCTTGAAAGTGATTTTCACTTAAACTTGTTCTTTTTAGCTATGACATTACTTCTTTACATTATATTGCATCTATAATGAAAAAAAGAAAACACTCCATCACCTTTATCTGTCTTGATATATGTTCAGTTATCTTTCAGTTGTCCATAAAATATGCAGGTTTACCTATGCCCAGAGTCTGCAGCCTTACCTTTCTTTCTTCCTTAGTCTTTTAACTGTGGATTCTTGTCACTTGACCCATCTGTGAACTGACTATCATTTTGTGCTATATATGAAACAAAATAGCTTCAGAGAAAGACAGTGAGGATCTCGCTTCATGCCACTATCTCACCATGTTGGTTTGACTGCTTGTCAATACTTGGAGTGAACTTCAGTCTCCTGAATCAAAGTAGAAATTTGAGTTTCTCACACCCTTAAGCCTAACCAAATAAGAAACATTCTTCAATTAATAAAAATAATATATAATTTTAAAAAATGCTGCAGGAATCTCTTTTCCTTTTCTTTTCTTTTTTTTCCTAAGAATTCATCAAAATAACTTGAAAAAATGTAATCTTAGTCTATCAAAGAAATGCATACTTCTCATTACAAGATGAATAGTGAATCCATGTAATTGTTATTATTCCTTATGCATTTTTAAAAAGGTAAATGTAAAAATTTATTGCTGTTTAATATACTTTTAAATGTGAACATGAACTGTGTACATGTACTCCAAAAGTAATGAACACTAGAATAAATAAATAAAACATGCTAATCAGTGTTCGTATGCAAAGGTCTCTATTGTCTTTATTACCTAGACATAAACGGTAATTACAGAAGAAGGCAACACAGAGATCTACATTTCATGCATGCCTCAGGTCACTTTTTAGCCTTGGGATCCTCATTCCTCCTCTTCTGTCTTCTTGTGAAACTCCCGGCTTTTGACTCGGAGCTTGTTGACCTGCGACTCTGCAATGTCAGCCCGCTCCTCAGCTTCTTCCAGCTCATGCTGGATCTTGCGGAATTTGGAGAGGTTGACATTGGACAGCTCCTCCTGTGTGGGGAGAGGGAGTTGTGAAAACAACAGGCGGCGTGTGGATATTTAATATCTGAAGACCGGGCAAACAAGAATTTGAATGCCATAGCTGGGCAAGCAGGGAAGTTTCAAAATGAAGGTAAGAAGCTGCTCAGGGCATTAAGTGTGGCAGAAGAGAGTGTCAAAAAGGCCATGGCCACATTACACACAGCATGATCTAGGCAGAGTTCATGGCAGAGTCCTGAATAGACAGGCTGTCAGCTGCTTCTAACACCCAGGGTAGGGTAGGAAGGAAGTAATAGAGGTGGGAAGCGAGGCCTAGAGCAAAAGAAATAGAGCTGGGGAAGTATAGTTCCTCCCAAACCCAGCAATTCTTACTCTTACATTCCCCATTGTCTTGTAGCAGCAAATGCATCAAAACAGTCAAGGTTTCAAAAAGTTTAATGGAAGAAAACACAAACACAGAATTCTACATTCACCAGAAGGAAGTCTGGCCTTAGTCAGCGTGGTACTTACAGCCTCCTCAGCTTGCCTTTTGTAGGACTTCACTTTCATTTGCAGCTTGTCCACTAGATCCTGGAGCCTGAGAACATTCTTCTGGTCTTCCTCAGACTACAGAGAATGCCAAATAATAGAAACCCTTGTTTGCCTTTGTCTCTAAATTTCATAAATGTGAACCAGAGGGAGTAACATTCCTTACGGAGCATTGCTGTCCAGAAGGACAAGGGTCAAAATCCTGTTAACTATGTCACTGACTGACGTATAGAAAGAAATCCCTCTGGAAGGCAATGTGCCACCATTTTGACTTCCTGGAAGAAGAGCGTGTCAACACAGAGAAACCTCCTGCCTTACCTGGTAGGTCAGCTCCTTCACTCTCCTCTCATACTTGCGCATGCCCTTCACGGCTTCAGCGCTGCGCTTCTGCTCAGCATCAACCTCCCCTTCCAGCTCCCGCACCTGCAATGAAAAGCCCATCTTTGGAGCTTCCCTGGTATCTCTCCAAGGGAGATTGCTCACTCATGCACAAATAGCAGCCCTACGCACTCTGGCTTCCAGCTTCTGGATTTGCTTCTTTCCTCCCTTCAGAGCCAACTGCTCAGCCTCATCCAGACGGTGCTGCATGTCCTTCACCGTCTGGTCCAGGTTCTTCTTCATCCTCTCCAGGTGGGCGCTGGTGTCCTGCTCCTTCTTCAGCTCTTCAGCCATCATGGCTGCCTGATGAGAGCAAAGGGTCAAAGCCATTTTGGGGCTGGAGACCGTTGGGGAGAATGAAAGGGTCAAAGCCATTTTGGGGCTGCAGACAGTTTGCAGAGAAGACACCCCCCAGCAGCAATGAAAGGAGCCCCCAACTCACATCTGTGATGGCCTTCTTGGCCTTCTCTTCAGCATTGCGGGCTTCCCGGATCGTATCCTCCATTTCACCCTGAATTTGGGCAATGTCTGTTTCCAGCTTCTTCTTGCTATTGATCAAGCTGGTGTTCTGTTCAAGAGCATCAATACCACAATTTTGGTTTTGATAGCTTGCAATATCATATCAACAACATTGCATAAATGTTGTTTTTTAATATAAATTGTGCCATCGGGTCACACGGGGATCTGTTCTAAAGGAGCTGCTGTGGTAGCTGTTAGTTTCTCAGCTCTGTTGTGCTTCAGTATTTCAAGAACATCCTCTACAAAGTCTTTCTTCACAGTTTCTCAGTCAACAGAGAAGGAATTTAGACTTATAAAGAAAAAAGATATAATCTTTCCTTACCATTTTCAATCTAGTGGCAGTAAAAATTTTAACTGATGCTATAGAATACTTATCATGACATTGTTAAATGATGTTAGTTACAGTATTAGTGTATTCCTATTTTGTTAATGATCAACCTAAATTTGACTTTGCAGTCTCAAATGTAAATGTGAAAGCTGTTGAACTCACTTAAGTCATAGAGTAAGAACCTCACATATCTCTCTGAATTTATTACTTCTAAGGTGTCTGCACTGTAGTCTAGAGATATTCATATTATATCTGCAGCTGAAAAGTCACTTTTAATATTTGTTATCCATACTGTGAAAATTACAATGCATTTAACAAAATACTGTTACAATTCAGCCAGTCTTCAGTTATTTTATATTTATGGATCAAAAGTATAAATACTAAATATATTTATATTCTTACCTGGGTATGGAGGAGCTGCACACGCTCACTTGCATCCAGAAGCTCCTGCTCAGCCACTTTCCTTGACCGCTCCGTCTGCTCCAGGGCAGCCCTTAGTTCTTCAACTTCAGCCTGCAACAGGTTTGCTCTGCGCTCCACCATGGCCACCTGCTCCTTCAGGTCCTCTTGTGCCCTAAGAACATCATCCAAATGTATCTGAGTATCCTGGTAAGAGAGACAAGACAGATTGTGAGGTGTATTTTTCTTGTTTTCCTATTTCCTATTTGCACATCAGTACAGAACTGATAGACTTATAGAACAGAAAAATTCTTAGCTGTGTCAGAAACCATTCAGCACATGTTTAACTGTGTTATACCTTGAGCATTGCTTGTGCATTTCTCAGGTTCTTTTGTGCCTCTGCAGCCACGCGGTTGGCATGGCTCAGCTGGATCTCCATTTCATTCAGGTCTCCCTCCATCTTCTTCTTCAGCCGCAGGGCTTCGTTCCTGCTCCTGATCTCAGCGTCCAGGGTGCTCTGCATCGACTCCACAATTCTGAGGTGGTTTCTCTTCATCTGGTCGATCTCCTCATCTTTCTCTGCTATCTTCCTGTCAATCTCAGACTTCACCTGGTTGAGCTCAAGCTGGAGGCGCAGGATCTT